CCCCGAACGATGTATCTCGTTCGCGGTCGCTTGTCATCTGTTTCACGTTGCCAAATGTTTCGCCTCTGCTCCGCGCATGTGTCGCAACATGTCTGAGCTTGTTAGACATTGTTCTTCATGTGGGGCGTAACGCAGGCCACCAGTATGGGGAACCAGTGTGGGAGACGCAGACGCGATGCCAAAATACGGCGGCACAGTGGTGCACCAACAATTACTACGTCTGTTTCGCATTCGCTTCGCCTCCGTTTCGTCCCCGCTTCGTCCCCGCTTCCTCAGCTTAGTTTGCGCGTTTCGGGCGGCACTCTTGGGCGGATGATCGACCAGGCCGACTGCCTTTAGTGCGGGGCTGCGAGCGCAACAGCCCAATGGCACCTGCTCCGTGACGACACTTGGACGAGGATGATGTCGTAATAGAACTGGCTCAAGATACGTTTCAAGATTTCCAAGAGTATCTAGCGGCCCTTGTTTCTGGAACCCGGGTGTAACATTTGGGAATCTCGGGGATCATGGGAACCCTGGAACGTATCTTTATCATGATCTCTTGCTCCTCCGTGGCGGCACGGCAAAAACCGGGGCGGGCTGCCAGGCTGAGCTTCGGTCCCGCGGGCGCCGGGGGGCACTGAGGAGGGATGGGGGAAGTGGGAGGGGGAAGTGAACATGGGGAGGGCTGGAACGACCAAGCCAAGAATTCGGCCAAAATGCTACGGTCCGGAACTTTTGTGTACCGTGTCGCTGCGGCGGCCAGGGCGACACACTATGCCTTGCGAGTGGTCGCTCCGCTCCTCGGGGCGGGAGGTCGGGAAAAGCTCGAGACGTTGACGCACAGGGAACCTGAAGTGGACAGCGTGTCGTGCCGAAACGTGGGTGGCCAGAACAGGCGGCGCGACACGCTATCCAACAGTTCCCGACTGTAGCCAGGAGGGACGCTGAACAAGGAACGACGCCCCTTTTTAGCCCCAAAGGGATCGGGGTGCACGAGCGAGCCCCTTCCAGCGAGCTGCTTGTGATTTCAGCGTCTCGAACTGTATGGCACGATCGCGGATTCCAAAGCCACATGGCCCGCATCGCTTGCTTTTGGAATGCCATGCGGGACCTGCTCTAGAGCAGGAACATACCGTAGACGGATCTACCCTTTCTCCGAGCATTGCGCCCAGCATCGTATCAAACCCGACTGTGCTTACATGCGTAACGACCCCCCGTGTGTCTGTAGACGCCGGTGGCTAGAAAGTAAGAGTGGCCTTTGGTATAGGCCCGAGATGTGGGCCTTCTAGTACCAGGCGCACGCTGTCCTCCAAGCTTGCTTTTCCATGCTGACGGGGGCCCGAGGCACCAGCGAGGCCGACGCCGCGAACGCCTCGAGGGAAGCCGCGGCCGCTGCCGGCCTGCCCTCCGAGCCGCCGTCGGTGCTCGCGGCAGCGGGCTCGGCAGGGGCGATGGCGAGCTTCTCAGGGCCACTCTTGGGACCGTTTTTTTTTTTTCTGCGATTGCCCGTCCGGTGGGGGGGAAGGGAGTGGGGTGGTCGCCGGCAGCTAAAGACCTTTTCGCTTCGGACAGTCCCGCGTAATGCCCGCGCGCGCCAATGCTGTGTACTCCTCTGGGCCTGCACAACCAAAACCAACAGGGTCAAGCTATCTTGGGGGGTGGGAGGGGGGAGGCGGCAGGCGGACATGCGGACCCGATAACCCAGGCGATCGCCGGACCCTACAAAAACAGTCTGCACTCTTGCACGCCGTGCTGCACCGCCGCAGCTCGTGCCGAGGTGGCTTCATGGAAGCCAGGTGCTCACGCCCTGCTTGCCGCGACACGGCTGCGAAATATGCCTGACACGCATTTCGCTCCCGCGTCGCATCTGCGCACATGTGTTTGATAAGTCTCTGTGCATGCATGTGTTTTTGTGTGTCCACCGGAAGGAAAAGGGAGCGCTTTGGTGGGACAACAGCAAAGAACAACAAGGCAGAACCCATGTGGGTCACCCCGTCTGTTTCACAGTGTGCTTGACATGCGCTTAGTTCGTGATTGTCAGAACTGGACCACTTTTTCGAACATCCTGGGACACGGGTGCGCGAGAGGCGTCTCATCACAGATTCCGCCATAGCGCTGTTCCCGCGGCTTGTGTGTATGTATGTATGTGTGTGTGTGTGATTCCGCTGCATCGCTGCGCGCGCGGCCGTGAAGCACGCCCAAAAGTGTGTGTGTGTGTGTGTGCGTTTGTGTGTATGTGTGTGTGCGTGTGTTCGTTCGTGCGTGCGTGCGTGCGTGTGCGTGTGCGTGTGCGTGTGCGTGTGTGCGTGTGTGTGTGTGTGTGCGTGTGTGTGTGTGCGTGTGTGTCTGTGTGTGTGTGCGTGTGTGCGTGTGCGTGTTTGTGTGTATACGTGTGCTGTGTGTGTTGTGTGTGTTGCGTGTTTGTGTGTGTGCTTGTGTGTGCGCGTGCGTGCGTGCGTGCGTATGCGTGTGCGTGTGCGTGCGTGTGTGTGTGTGTGTGCGTGTGCGTGTGCGTGTGTGTGCGTGTGTGTGTCTGTGTATGTGTACGTGTGTTGTGTGTGTTGTGTGTGTGTTGTGTGTGTTGCGTGTTTGTGTGTGTGCTTGTGTGTGTGCGCCAGTGTGTGCGTGTACGTGCGAGCGTGCGTGCGTGCGTGCGTGCGCGCGCGCGTGTGTGTGTGTGTGTGTGTGTGTGTGAGTGTGTGTGTGTGTGTGTGTGTCTGTGTGTGTATGTGTCTGTGTGTGTGTGTGTTGGGGGGGGGCGTGTGCGTGCGTGCGTGCGTGCGTACGTGCGTGTGTGTGCGTGTGTTGTCTAGCTTCGCCTGCCCACCCATCAAGTTTGTCGCATTTCCCCGCAAGCCGGCCTCTCGCACAGCTCACCACCTGAACGCCTGGTGGAAATCTTGCGATAGCTCGCGCAGCTTGCTGCCACTCGCTACGGTGACGTTACCTGGCCGCCAGAAGAGAATGCGTGTGTATGCTTGTTTGTCGGGCCCCCTGTTTCGCTATTTCTCCTGACCTTTCCGAGCAGCGATGAAGCCCCCCCCCACCGCGATCACATGGAGGTCAGCATGCATCAACTCGTTGCCACAAGCCCCGCATTTGCTGACCTCTGGACAAAAATTCAGAGCGAGGTTTGCAGCAGGGGTCTTCATGATCTCACCCCTATCCTAGACGAGATCCTAGCCAGCCCCGCCCACCAGCCGCAGGCGCCGTCACTGGGGGGGTCGTAAAGGTCGGATAGGGCCAGAGGGCGAATCAGAAGAAGATCGCTGTGGACGTCCCATGGGCGGGGACATGTAAACCTCCAGCTGGGTTCGCTTCCCAAGCCCACGTCGGGCTACACCCCCCCTTTGACGAACCCATGGCCCACAAGCACCGCCTGCACAACGCTGTTGCCAGCGGGGTGGCGGATATGTGCGGCAGGGCAGCCAGGACAACTGCAGTTTCTCATGCACGACAAGCCTACGCAAACGGGAAGCATATTCCTGCAAACTTCCATGCGCAACGCAGGCGGCACACACACACAACAAACTCATCGAAGTGCCCTCCCGCATGACTCACGCAGCAGAGAGGAATTCGGATTGCGCCTACGAAGGCAACCACACACGTCAATGTCACCTGCGTGTGCACACGCACGCACGCACGCACGCACGCACGTCTGGCGTCCACCCTGGCGGCGCCCCGATTGCACAACGGTCTGGGCTGTTTGGCGTTCGCGAGGCCGAGGCGCCTCATGCCTGCCCTGGAGCGTCCATGGTCTCAGCGCCAAACGCTTGGTCTGGGCAGCTTCGGCGTGTGTCGGGTGGTGTTAACTCCAAGGGGGCACCACCGACTACAATCATAATGTGCGCATGTGTGCACGGTGGGCACTTTTGGCAAGTGTATGCTTGCATTGATGTGTACGCACATCTTCATGCGATGGTCCACACATAGATTTCACAAGACAAAGGCAGACATGTTAGACGTCCACATACATTGACGCTCATATGTGTGCTTGGTCGTGTGCAAGCACACGCGCAATCGCGTCTACCACAACCGTGTCAGGGTATGAGAACGGCGCCTTCGTGCAACTTTGTCAAGCACGTCTCGTCGCTGTGATCCACAGGCGGCGAAGAAATTCATGCCTCGGCGGAACAGGGGACCGGCAAACGCAGGTCCGATTCAAGAGCTGCCTATACAATGTCAGGTTCACCGCGCGGCCTAATGATGTGATCAGGCAGAGTTCTGTAATGAGTCTGGGGCAGACGGGAAGCAATGAGAGTGGCCCACAGAACAATCAGGAAAACGTCGGTGAGACGCAGCGCTGAAAACTACAGCCAGAAGCGTGCAACCGCTACTGACACCCGCTGAGATGGTGCAGGCTCGCACCGACGTCAGCATCCAGCAATGCAGAGGCCCTGGCGTTGAAACGGATATGCATCTCCGCTGTTGATTGCCCAGCAGCGGGGAGTGTGGCGGCTGCCCGGCTGCTCTGTCTCGAATTCTGGGAACGGGATACAGCCCCACGCATGCAAAAAGATGCATGGGGATACAAGTCAAGCCTGTTCAATCCCACCCGCCCTCTGGGCCTGAGAGGTTTAAGTGCGAGATCTTCCAAAACAGCGCCGGGGACCCCTCCCTAGGATATGGACGAACAGGTTGGGCGCGCGAGATGTCAGAGGGCCAGCTTGTGCCGACACGGGGCCTGGCAGGGTTCACAGGCAGCCCCAAAGGTCCGCAGGAGCGCCCGGCTTCAAAAGGCGATTTCTACCACTCCGAAAGCAAGGACACTTGAAGCCACAACTTTCTATTTGTCAGTGCCCCACAGGATGACCGTAAGAGGGCCCGAAAGGCTCTCGAAAGGGCTCCAAGAGATCCCCAAGGTGGCTCCCAGAGGCTCCGCTGATTGTGCTTGTGCGCGCTGCTCGGGCTGACTCTATTTTGGGTCTGTCTGGTGTCCCCTGCTACCATCGGACAACAACGCCTCGCCTGGGCAATGCTTCTGGGCGGGCTGGTAGGGATACGCAAAGCGTTCAGGATTACATCAGCTGGCAAGGCGGGCAGTCTTTACCGCAGCTCATTCTCACCAGCTCTGCCCTGGCCCAACCGCCTCGCTCTGCCCTCGAGGTCGCGCAACAACTATCTCCCGCGACGGGACCTACATGTCCGAACCTGGCTGGCTGCATCCGTGTTCTGAGAGCATGGATACATCGAGCGACCTTGTCCATGTTGCATTCCTGGCCAAAGTCCGATTCATGGAAGGTCAGGTGCTCTGGTATGCCCATTTCGTGGATGGCGCTGAGGAAGAGGGCGATGTTCCGCATCCGACTGAGCTCGTCGTGGCCGCTACTCACTTTGCCGACTGCGCCAGGGTGGATTGAGTTTACCAAGGCGCAGAGCACGACACCAGATTGCAACCACTCTCGGAAGCTTTTGCCCCCCTGCATGTACCCAGTCGTCTCCTCGATCCATGTCGCGGCCTCCTCCTCCGTCCCCAATGCCTGCCCCGTCGCCTGCGGCTCCACGAGAGGCTTGCCCGCCCACTTGCCCTTGGCAGGACCCCCCAAACCCACCCTGAGAGCCGAGCCGATGACCGACACCTGGTCCGATCGCGACGTGTCGAATCGGCACCTGTCGAATTCCTGTCTCCCCCGACCCCAGCCTCGCGATCCTGTTCCTGAGCCGCGATCCATCGCGACGCGGGCCGCGGGCCTCCCCCCGAACTCTCGACTCCTTCCCCGGGACAGCCTCTCCGCCCCGAGCTCTTCCGTGCACGGCCCCGCGGCACGGGGAGGCGCCCCCCCCCGAGGCCGAGAGAGCCACGCCAAGAAGCGCTCCGGCGTGCCTGCTGCCCACGGCGCGATGAGCAGAGGAACGAGAAAAGGTATACACCCTGCGAAATGCTTAAGAAATCATGGGTTCAGAAATTCATAGTCTCAGAACTTGAATAAAAACCCAAAATTCCCATTCAAATCTTAGGAGTTACATTGAAACATTAAGAATAATCGAGACCCTGGCCGAAAAAATGAGTTTTCTTAAGCATCGCTTAAGGTATACACATATTTTCTCGGAGGTCCGCGCGGAGTTCTTCGGTCGGCGCTGGACCCCCACCCCTGGCGCGCGGAGCGCGCCAGTGTCGCGGCGCTGGACGGCGGGCGCTGGAGGCGCCGCCCAGGGGGGGCCCAGCGCCGAGGCAAGAAGCCCGCGCGGACCGCAGAGAAATTATGTCTATGCGATGGCATCCTCTTCGAGACGTGGTCTGGAGGCATCGTCCGGAGGGGGTAAGACCGGACGGAACAAACCCGGACGGAGACCGAGCACCCCGTGCGGACTTACTCCGTGCGGACGTGGCATCCTATGAGGAGGGGCCAAGTCCGAACGGAGCAAGCCTGGACGGAGACCGAACTCTCTGCACGGTCTTACGCCGCACAGTCTCAGCGTTAGGTCGGGCATGCCCGCCTACAGGCGGATCTTGGACGAGAGCAAAGATTCAAACAGCGCCCCCAAAAGGTCAAACAGTGATAGAAACATCGCCTCCATACTTTTTCTGGACTCTCCTTGGATGTTCCTCCTGTAGAGGGCCACGCCCGACTTGCTCTTAGCATCCTCCGACGCGGAGGGGCTCAGACCGGGCCGGCGGGGCCGAATTCGGCCCCCGCCTTGGCGCCACGCGTGCGCACCCAGCCGTCCCCGGAGGCGAGCCTCGGGCTGCGGCCGCTCGGCCTCCCCTGTGGTGTTGCGGCACGTCGCAGTTGCTGCCTCGATTGAAGGGGCCCGAGGACACACAAATAATTACACACAAATAAAAAGATTCCCAATAGTTTTCCATATTTGTTGGGTTTCTGTCTTCCCCCCCACTTCCCATAGTTTCCCATATTTTCTGCGGAATCGACGATTACTTGTGCCTGTGTGTTTCTTTTCCTCCTGATTGATACGGTTGGAGGGAGGAGATGGGAGCAGACAGTGTAATTCAGCCGCTGGCGATAAAAATGCGAACGCCGCCACGCGCATATGCACCTCAAGCCTGGTGAAAAAGGCATGCTGCTGCGGCTGGGGGCATGGCGCTTGAATCGCGGCTGCCTGTGTTGGCGATCGTGTGATGATGCCGCCTGTGCCGTGGTTATGTCATGTAGTGATGCTGCGGGCAGTGCCACTTAGACATGATGGTGCTGCGTAGCATCGTGGGTGGTGCGGCGGCCCGAGGAGCTCCTGGTGCAGGCTCTGAGCTGGCCCGAGACCAGCGGCAATACACACATATGTTCGTGTACAAACACACACAAATATACACATATATACATACAAATAGATGTATGTGTACTGGCGATGCTGGAAGCACTGGATCCAAGCATGCTGGCGCTTCGCTGACACTTCCACCGGCTTCTGCTGGCGGACCCACCGCCGTGTTACTCATGTCGGCATTCCGGCGAGGGCGCGGCGCGTCGAAGGCGAGGTCCTCTCTGAGGCGGCACATACACTGAAGGTGCGCATATCTGTATACAAATGTGTGAATGTATACATACAAGTACGAGTATATACATTCGTCGCATGCTGATGAACTGGCGTGTACATATGCATGAGAACATGTGTACATCCAGCACGCAAATATGTATGTTGTATATGTATTAGGAGTGCAGGGGTCGAACGGTTTTGGGTATAATTGGACTCCGTCGCCCGAATTGTGCTTCTTTGTTGCTGGTGGTGTTATTTCTTTCTGTGGACACCCCACGCAGGAACCTCACCCTCCTCTCTTCTCAAGCTTCTCTACAGTCGTCATCATCGTCACCATCTTCATCAGCCTCATCATCCCCGTCACCATTACCAGCGGCACCACTCGCGCACTCACATCGCCATCATGACTATCATCGTCATCGCAATCATCTTCGCACACACTCGCTCACAAACTCGCACACTCGCACACTCACCTTGAGGAAGTCTCGAGCGAAAGCTTCTTCCGTGAGTGAGCCGCAGAGAAATCTTGAGCGGAAGCTCCCTTCCCCACTGGGTCCCCATCACCACGTGCGGATCCGAGCGGGCTATCCAAATTCAATGAACCGTCGTCACTCTTGGTTACCTCAGGCCTGAGTCGGCGGGTCTTCTCGAGCGGGAGCTCTGTCCGTGAGTGAATCGCGAAGACATCTCGAGCAGGAGCCCCTCCCTATGGGGTCCCCACCTCCATGCTCGAATCCCATCTTGGGCACTTCCGCGGACCTCCCATGGCCCTTTTGGGTCTGTGCTGGGAGCCCTTGGGGGGCCTCTTGGTTCCATTGTAAGCTGTCTTGGGGCTCTCGTGGGCGATCGTGGGGCCCGGCTCGGCCGTCTTGAAGCTTTCTAGGGGGCCTCTCGGGGCGTCTTGAGGAGATCTCGGGGGCTTTGAAACCGTCTTGAGAGCTGATAAAATCCGAAAGGCAAATCTGCTAAAATTGTAAGTTTTACAAAGGAAATGGGACGATTTTTGTGCTCTGAAGGCCCTCTGGAAAGCTTGTTGGGGTGCCCTGGGGGTCTTTATGTTGGCATTCGGAAACATCGTGGGGGTGTTTTCGGGGCCCTCGTGGGCCGTTTTGGCGCCTTCATGGGCCGTCCTGGGGCCTTCTTGGGCCGTCTTGGGGAGCTTGGGCCTGCTGGAGCCCCCTTTGGACCCATCTTGGGCACTTCGGGGACCTCCCATGGCCCTTTTGGGTCTGTGCTGGGAGCCCTTGGGGGGCCTCTTGGTTCCATTATGGGCTGTCTTGGGGCTCTCGTGGGCGATCGTGGGGCCCGGTTCGGCCGTCTTGAAGCTTTCTTGGGGGCCTTTTGGGGGGCGTCTGGAGGCGATCTCGGGTGCTTTGGAACCGTCTTGAAAGCTGATAAAATCCGGAAGGCAAAATGTTTGTGCTTTGAAGGCCTCTTGGAAAGTTTTTTGGGGTGCCTTGGGGGTCTTTGGGGCCGTCCTGCCGCAATTGGAGTCCCTCTTGGAGCGCTCTTGTGATGTCTGGGGCCTCCCTTGAGCCTTTCTGATGACCCCTCGGATCGCTCTGGGTCTGCTGGCAAGGCGTTTGTGGAGACCCGGAAAGACGGGTGACCTTTTCCAAGGACGTCCAAGGGAGCCCGAGAACCCCAGATCCCGGGGGTCCAGTTTTGAGAGGGGGGGGGTGAGGGTTTTCCCCCCCCCCCCGGGCTTGTAAAATTATAGGAAGAGGAGTATGTTCATGTTTACACAGGCGCGTGGGAAGAAATAATCGGCATCGGCGTTTTGCTCAAAGGGAAACGCGGGGGACACAGGGGTTTGGAGGCCCCTCCGGGCCTCCGATCTGGTCCAAGTGGGCGTGCTCCCGCGACACGCCGGCCGGGGCATCCCCTACGTTACCCCAATCGATCGAACATTCGGCCTGCGCACATACACATGTATACACATATGCGGTTAGCTGAGCTGCCCCGATACGCAACACGCAACACGTAGCGCGCTGATACAGGGCAAAACACGCAGACTGAACACGCAGGCCTGACGCGATACGCTCGCCCACGTGGGCCAAGACGCTGAGCCAACACGCAACGCACTGTCACGGACGTCTGCAGCACCGTAGCTACGTGTTGCGTTTCACATGAGCATCCTTGAACCGACCCCCCAATCCCCACCAGCGCAGGCTGGGCCCCACTGGCCTATTTGCCCCCCTGGCCCTGGATGGGGATATAGGCCGCTCCCCAACTGAGATGGTGAGACGGCGGGGCTCGAGAGGAGGAGGAGGAAGAGGAGGAGGAGGAGGAGGAGGAGGAGGAGGAGGGGGAGGAGGAGGAGGAGGAGGAGGAGGAGGACGTGGATCGGTCAAACGATCCTGAGCACAAGGGGCGCATCGAGGCAGCCATGGCGGTGAGGCCCTCGGGAGGCCGAGCGGCCGCATAAGGCCTCAGGAAGGCCTGCCCGTCCTCCCGGACGTGCTGGCCCGAGGCGCCGAACAGGCAGCCCCCGCCGATCCGCCGCGGGGGCCCCCGGCTCCTCTCGCGGGAGTCACGGGCGGCGGGCGGCGGGGTCGCGGGAGTCACGAGCCTCTGTCGGGCATGTCCCTCTGCAGGAGGGATATTTCAAAATAGTTCTTTGAAGCAAGCAAATCTGGGACGATTTGTTTAAAACTATGTTTGCCCTTCTGTTGGGAGTACTTTATATATGTCCTTCAGGAAACGCCTGTAGGGGGACACGCCCGACCAAACGGCAGGATCCGCGAGCGACCCCCCCCCCCGCGGGGGAACGCAGGCAGGGGGGCCGCAAGACGAGGCCAGGGCAGGGACAGCATCGGACAGGGACATGTCGGGAGTCTCTGAGATTTCCATCGGTTCTAGAGGCTCCACCTCCCCCTCCTCCTCATCCTCCTCCTCCTCCATCCTCCTCCTCCATCCTTCTCCTCCATCCTTCTCCTTCTCCACCTCCACCTCCTCCTCCGCCTCCTCCTCCTCCTCCGTCTCCTCCTCCTCCTCCTCCTCCTCCTCATCCCCCTCCTTCTCCTCCTCCTCCTCCTCCTCCTCCTCGTCCTCCTCCTCCTCCTCCTCCTCCTCCTCCTCCTCCCTCCACCGCACGCCCCATGTCCCAAGCTTGTGGCATGGTGGGTCATCAGCTCGTCGTTGTCGTTGTCGTCGTCGTCGTCGTCGTCCTTCTGGGTCGGCGGCACTGGCCGTACGGCCTTCACTATCTCTGAGATCCGGCGGTTCTGGAAGATGTATCGGGCGCCGCTGAGATGACCGCGGCGGTCATTAAAGGGATAAGGGGGTAGGGGTAGAAGTGCATGCCAATGTGGGCCATATCTGGCCTAACCTGGCTAATACATTAGTTACAAGCGCACCAAATTTTTAAAGGGGGATAGACAACTCCGCCAAGTGGGCGGAGCCCACTTAGCCCGGGTCGCTAATCCCCCTAACCAACTGTGGGTACCTGTAGCCCACGCGCAACATAGGTCAGGTCAGATATATTTAACCCACCTTAGCATCTGCTTCTACGCCCCCTATCCCTTAGCAGCCCCAGCGGTCGTCTCTGCGCGGCCTTCTCAGCAAGCTCCAGAACGCGCCGAGAGCGTTTCCGGAACGCTCTGGAACGGACTTGTCCTTGTCCTGACCCCGCCCGAGGCCGGCGGATGCGGGAGGGAAGCATCGGCCGGCCCGAGAGGCCGAAAACTGCGGCAAGCCCCTCCGAACCTGTATCGTCGAAACCTCTGGGGGGCGACGATAGGGGCGGACTGTTTCGGGGGGGAGCTGAGAGGCCGAAAACTGCGACACGCCTCTCCGAGCCTCGATCCTCGAATCCCGACCATCGACCCTCCATCATCAAGCTTCTGGGGGGACGATCGGGGGGGACCAGCTCAGGGGGAGCATTGACCTGGAATCGGCGATACACCCTGCGAAATGCTTAAGAAATCATGGGTTAAGAAATTCATAGTCTCAGAAATTGAATGTAACCCAGAACTTCTATCAAAATCTTGGGACTTACATGGAAAAATTAAGAATAATCGAGACTCTGGACGAAAACTTAGGTTTTCGTAAGCATCGCCTAAGGTGTACATCGCCGATGGATCGGCGGTAGGTCCCGGGCAGAGCGTGTCCGTGCGTTCCTGGGCGGGGTGAGCTCTCCGGAGGTCGACGCATTGCCCCCCCCCATGCGCCCCGCGCCCCCGAACGCTGCCCCTGACCCACGTGCCTCCTGTGTACACCCTGCGAAATGCTTAAGAAATCATGGGTTAAGAAACTCAGAGTCTCAGGATTTGAGTAAAAACCCAGAACTTCGATCAAAATCTTGGGATTTGCATTGAAGCATTAAGAATCATCGAGACTCTCGCCGAAAACTTACGTTTTCTTAAGCATCGCCCAGGGTGTAGTCTCGGGTCGGGCATGTCCTTCTGCAGGCGGGCTTCGGGAGGACGAATCAAAAGCGCCTGCGAACCAAGATCCAAGCATGGTCCACAAAGACTCGAAACGTCGTCCCCAGACTACGGTTGGTCTATGTCTATCTTTGCTTCAGTTTTCCTCCTGTAGGGGGGCGTGCTCGACTTGCGTGCAGTCCTCCTCGAAGAGGCGGGGGAGGTGCGCACCGTGGCCCGGGGCGCGTGCGCGGTGCCCCTCCGACGCGTCGCACGGCGACGGGAGACGGGGCCACGAGGCCCGGGAGACGTCGCTGCCCCGACGTGCGCGTGGAGTGTGAGGATCGCGTGGTATCACTTCGGCGCCGCCTGATCCCTGGGCTGCGCCCTCTCCCGGCCGCGTGGGGCCCCGCCTTCTTCCGCCCTTTCTCTCTGCGAGTCAAAGCGGTGCGCGTCCCGCTCAGCTTTCAGCGGAAGAGGTTCGCTCTCGCCCTGCAGATAAAAAAGTGAGGATCGCGTGGCCCTGGTGAGGGGCAACGATACAGTTGGGCTGCTGGAATAAGGAACGCTAAATAAGGAACGAGGCTCCTCTGCGGCTTCAGAAAAGCCTGGGGTGCACGATGAGGGCTGGAGGAACAGCCGCGGAAGGACGTAAGGAACATCGAGCCCCTTCCGAATCCAAGCTGTTGCTTATTTCAGCGTCTTGGCTGTAGTGGGGGGACTAGCACAGGGGAGGATGCATTGACCCAGAATTCGGCGATACATCGCCGACAGATCGGCGACAGGCCCCTTCGGGCTATCGGGCCCCTATCGGCGATTAATAGGCGATTTGGGGTTGATGCATCCCCTCCTATGCTTATCTCCCCCTATCTTTGCGCCTGATGGTAGAGGCCTCTTGCATGGGGTCCGAGTAGATGTGGTCAGAGGATCGCGCCGCATCGCCAATGCATCGGCGGTACATTGTTGATGCATCGCCGACGTCGGCGACGCATCGGTGACGTCGGCGGGAGAAAATCGGCTCCGCATCGAGACGCATCGCCGATGCGGCACGATCCTCCGACCCCATCTACTCCGACCTCATCTACGAGGCCTAGACCTGGTGACTGTGGTCCCCAGTGGCTGAGGGGCAGTTTAGTCGCTCGATCGATTGAAGACCTGGGAGGGCCTCGAGCCTTATTCTCTGGTTCCGTCGCGTCCCAGGGCCGACTTTCTCGATTCGAGGGCCAATGCTCCCTGGGGTGCGGGTGGGAGTTTGCCTTGCGACCACGAAACCTGACATTGCGGAGCAACAAGAACTTTGGACGTTGGGCCCTGATCCAGCTATCCTGAAAATGCAAAACTCTCACCCACAATAAACCCATTCCCACCTCCGTATCGCGAGGCAGGAAGTGGAGTGTTCTCAATGTCCTTCGAGTTCTCTGTTCTCTGCATGGGCCCCAGGCCCAGCACTCCCAGAATTCCTGGGCGCTCTTGAGCCCTTCTTGGCACTCTTGGGGGTCCCCACGTGTCCGACGCCTCGGAAGGGTGTTTTGGATACCTCAGCTTCCACTTGGTCTGCCTTCCCGGCCGCACCCGAAGCTTCCCCCGACCGCACCCGAAGTTCCCCCCCCCCCCTGCCCGCACCTGAGGCCAGCGGCGGCGACGGACGCACATCAGGAGGCTTGGGACGGCCGCTCAGCACTCGCTGATTGCACTGGCCCCCCCCTTTTCTCTCGGCGGTGACACGGTCTGAGATGCTCCGGGTGTGGCCGCCCTGGGGCCGTTCTGGGCGCATCTTGTGGGTACTCTCTTGGAGGCCCCAGGGGCCAGCCACAGAAGTCAACACGAATTACTTCCCGAGAAGCCCGTTTCGGAGCGTGAGCGTGATTAGACGTCATCGGATGTTCGGCGTTCGGTCGCGAGAGCGCCCAGGACGGCCCAAGAGGTCCCCAATATCGTGTCGAGACGGCCCACGGGGATCCCAAGAGGGCACAAGAGGCCACCAAGACGGCTCCGAGAATGGAACCCCGCACTGACACGTCGAGCCCTTCCCCCCAAATAAAGTGGCTCCGGAGACCGCCAACACGCCCCCGAAGGACCCCCCGAGGCCCCCAAGAGGTCCCGAGGGACCGCCACGGGGCCCCCGAGAGGCTTCTAGCAGGCCCAAGAAGAGACCCCCTCAGATACCACAGGGACTGGAGACTGGAGACTACGCCTGTGTCGACAGTCCTGGAGAGCGGCGCCCAGGAGACCCCAGGATGCCTCTGAAAGGCCTCTTGTCCAGGACCCAGGCGAGGTGGCGGGATAGACTGGAGGCCACTGGATTGCCACAGAACGCCCTCGGGATCGGATGCGCACAATGTCGACCCGATTCTAATACCACCTGCCATCGAACTCTATCCGTCGATGCGCTCGGCCCTCGAAGACGGCATCGCCGATGCCAGGACCGCGTCCTGGCGCCATCGCGCCCCCCCAGGAGGATACGTACGAGCCCGGGACAGAGCGTGACGAGACACAGCGAATCGAGTTTTTTTTTATTAAAAAAAATATAAAAAAGAGAACACCGGCGTAAACCTGAACTTTCGGAGCTCCGCGCGGATTCCTTGGCATCGGCGCCGGAGGCGCCGCAAGGAGGGCCCCCGCGCCGATCCAAGAAATCCGCGCGGAGCTCCCAAAGGTCGATGTGGTTATACGGTCTTGGCCTCTCTGTTTGCCTGCGCCCGGGACCCGCCTGGACATCTGGCACCCCAGAGCCTGCGGGAGAGATGCCCCTTGGCGTCGCGGCGTGCCCAAGGCCACCCGTCGGGGGCTCCCAAGGGGGCGCCCGGCGGCTCTCCAGAGCACCGAATCCTGGGGTGAGCCTCCCTGGGAGCCTCTGTGGGCGCCCCGCGGCCCTAGCAGGAACATCATTTCGACGGGATTTCGTCCAGACTTTGACCGCCCCTCTTCACCCCTTCGTCCAGATTTCGCCCAGATTTCGTCGTCCACACGTCGACCAGATCCGAGGAATCCAGACGACCCGCCCAAAACCGCACGGAATTTGGGGACCTCGTGGGACTCCCATGAAGGAGCGCACAACCTCCCCCCTGAGCATCCTTTGACCGACCCCTATCCCCATGGGCGTGGCCTGGGCCCTACTGGCCGATTTCCCCCCCTAGATGGGGATAGTTGTAAGCTGTTTCCTTCAGGTTTCGAAGGGTACTTCCCAAACTGGGGTGCTCAGATGGTGAGGGTCTGGATAGGGATGGGGATGGGGATAGGGGTCGGTTAACAATTGCTGACCCCAGCCCAGGACGCCCAGAGCATTCCCAGTGACCTTGTGCTCCAGATCGCGGGCGGCGAACATACCCATCACTGCGCCCCCGCAGCCTGGATCGATCCCGCAAATGCGCGGCCGCACGGAGGCGCTCCGCGCGGGGCATCTGGCGCCGCATCCATGGGGTCAGGGTTGGTGGCACGCACACAGGGGGTAGGGGGAGGGGGGGGGAAGGCCTCCTAGACGGATGCCGCTCCTTAGAAGGCGCTGGCCCTACATCCATAGATAAGGCCCCCGCCTTCTAAGAACCAGGGCTGCTTCTAAGAAGCCCTCCCCCCTCCCCCCACCCCCCTCTGCGCGTGGCTGACAGGGGCCCGGCCCGCGAGGCCGCGGATGTGTACGTGCGCGCGGGCAAGTTCTCGACGTCGGCGCAGCTCGCAGAGGCGAGAGCGAGGAGCCCGGGGGGTTGGAGCACCTGCGGGTCCCCAGGTCTAGCCGAGATCAGCGCCCTCACCCAAAACAGAGACGACGACACCCCTGTTGGGATTCCAAGCGATCGAAATTTCGGCCAGCGGCTACATGGCGGGTTCCGGCAACCTTGAACCCTAAAAGGAGGGTCACTTTTTGCTTCCGCCGGCTTCTGCCGGCCTTCCGTTGGCTTCCGCAAGCGAAGTTGACCGCGTCCTACCTCAGCCGCCTTCCGCTGGCCTCCAGACAAGCAAGAGATGACGAATGGCTCGATCCTCGAAGGCAAGGATCCTTGTTTCCTGACTACCTACCAGACCACCCCAACCCAACCCGAAGACCCGATTTTCGGGTTGGGGGGGGTAAGGGTTCCACGCGTGTTTTTTCGAGGTTTCCCGACCCCCCCCCAACTAGAAATCGAGGGTAAATCTGAACCTTCGGGTTGGGTTGGGGTGGTTTGGTGGGTGGTGATTTCCCGCCCGCCACCGACGGGAGGTCCTGCAAGTGGGGCTGGCACGGACCCGCAGGCCCGAGAGGGCGCGAAACACGCGCGGCTCTCCGCGCTCTGGGGCCGCCGGGGCTGCAGCCAGCGCTGCCGGGAGGCCCTGCTGCGCGGGCCCGGGCGGTGCGGGCGCCCGGGTAGCCTGCGCGCGCGGGCACGGCGAGCGCTGCTCTCGCGCGTGCGAGTTTGCGTGCGTATCTGTATGCGCACGAACATGTCCGTGCGTAGTTGTGTCAGGAGAGCCCAGAATCGAATCGATAAGTCGGATCGGCAATCGAAATGAATCGGATCGGCGGAAATTGGCAGCCAAGTCGGGAAAAGTCGAATCGGCGGACATCGGCAGGCTATTGTGCCTCCAATGAAAAATCGGATCCCAAATCAGAATCCCAAGTCGAATCGAATCGGAATCGGAAGCCATCGAAGTCGAATCGAATCGAATCGGAGGAATCGAAGCGAGCCCTGTTGTGTGCACAACCGTGCACGCAGTGCATCTGTGAACGCACAGGTGTATAGGTGCGTGGGCATGGGATGAAACATGCACCTTTGGCTGTCTGTGCAAGCGGGGCTGCATGTGTGTACGCGTGTGTGCTCGAGTGTGCCTGTATTGGGATATTGGTGCATGTGCCTGCACGTGCGCATACGTATAGCATCGTGCATGCAGTTGTATACGTAGACACCTGGTAAGCTGTAAATCCTACGTGCGTGTTTAATTGGTGGTTTGATCAGGGCCACGGCTTCCGGCTGGCTCGAATCCGTTTCACGTCGCACGCGTGCTGGCTGGCTCGGGGTGTGCAGACGTCGTTGTGGGTATGTTTCCTTGTTCTCCTTTTGGGAGGCGCATGCGAACCCTCTCGCTTCTGGGGCCAGCGCTGGAGCTTCCTGCGGAGCGAGATTGATTTGAGGGTTGCACCGACATGGGCGCGGGGACGCATGGAACTTGGCCGCTCGGGCCATAATCGGAGCTCGCAATGGGCCACGAAACGAGTGAGGGTGCGCCGAAGTGGGCGGGGAGGCGCATGCGAACTCTCACACTCAGACCTCAAGTGGAGCTCCCTATGGGGTGCGACCCACGTGAGGGGTGTGCCAACGTGGGCGGGGGAACGCAATCGAACTTTCTCACTGGGGCCGTAGGCGGAGCTCACTGCGGGGCACGAACCGAGTAAGGTATGCGCGGAAGTGGGGGGGATGTGCCCAAACGGCGGGGGTGCGCATGCGAACTTGGCCACTGGGGCCTTAGCTGGAGCTCCAAATTGGGCGCGATCCATGTGAGGGGTGTGCCGAGATGGGGGTGGCGACGCTTGCAAACTCTCTCTTTGGAGCCGCAAATGGAGCTTCCTATGGCCCATAGGAAACTCCACTTGCGGCTATGGGCCGCGAGTCGTCTGAGGGATGTGCCCAAACAGGCGGGGGAACGCATGCGAACTTGGCCACTGTGGCCTCAGCTGGAGCTCCAAATGGGGCGCGATCCAGATGGGGTGTGTGCGAAATGGGCGGGGGGGTGCACGTCAACTCTCCCACTGGGGCCTCAAGTGGAGCTTCCTACGGGGCGCGGTCTGTGCGATACGCTTCCCGACATGGGCATGCGAACTCTCCCACTGGGGCCGCATTGGGGGCACGATCCGTGTGAGTCGTGTCCCACTGGGAGCCGGGCGGGCGGGCGCGTGCGGACTCCTCGCGACTGGGCCGCAGGTAAAGCTCCCGATGGGGCACGAGCGCTGCAAGGATTGCGCCGACAGTGGGGGAAGGCGGGCAGGGGACGAGGAGGCGGGAGGAGAGGGAGGAGGGACAGAGAAGGAAGGAAGCGCCCTGCGCCGCGTGGAGGGGGGGGCTCCCAGGCCAGCGGGGGGGGGATGACGCGACGGTTGCGGGCCTGCGCAGGGCTCCCGGGGCGAAGAATGGCGACCCGTGGGCGGCCATGGCCACGGGAGGGCGGCGCCGCGGGAGGGTGGAGGACGAGCGAACAAGCACAGGGCACAAAGATCAGGGACTCCGCGCTCTGGACTCACAAACGTGCAGGATATTGCAATGGGGGCTCTGGGGGCCAGGGGGACAGGGCTGAGCGGGGGGGACGGGACGAGGACGAACGACGACGAGCGAAGGAACTGGTTCAAACAAATGGTCGTGGGGGCCAGTGGAGCGAGGGCGCGGGCTGGACGAGCAGGCGCCAGAGCGGCAAGGGCAGGGGCTTAGGGGGGGCCAGGGGAGGCCTGGGCGCGGGCCAAAGGAGCTGGGAAGAAGAACGGGGAGAGGTCATTGGGCTGGCGGGAGTATCAGGGGTGGTGGGGAGCAGATACAGGAGGGGGAGTGAAGGGAAACGATATGCGGTGACTGGCTCGGGGCTCAGGGTGGGGACATCAACTTAGGATTGGCGATACATCACCAGATCGTCGCCAGGCCCTCGAAAGCGAATCTGGATGTTGCTGGGCGAGGTGGGCTTCCAGGTCCATAGGGGAATACGGCGCCGGTGCACCCCCCTTGAGCCTATGCCCCCTCAGCGTTGCGTCTGAAGGAGCCTCAGGGGCAGCGGGAGGGACCAGCGCCAGGGAGGAGGAGGGGGGCGAGGATCAACGACGGTGAACGATGAGCGAACGAACATGAAGGGGTCTGCGACGCCAACTGTGTGCGGTACTTCTCGAGCTGGATCGATCTGCGAGGGTCTCCAGGCCTGGAACGAGGCAGAAACGCTGGCCGTGCGCCTGGATCTCCAGGAAATGTCAAAGGGAGTCGCAGCCAGGGGGGTCGGGTCGTAACTCCTGAGGCGAGGGAGGAGGACCCCCCACCTCTTCCCAGAAACACCCAAACGTTTTGCGCGTTTTGATCCTCGATCCTGAGGAGGAGGTGGCGAACACTCCTGCTGGTGACCCCCCTGGCACTGCCTGGGATCCTCACCGACACGAAACGCATCCCAACCCCTACGATCGGCAACATCCCATCTTGGTGTCAATCTTAGGACTTCCCCCAACCCCCCAGTTTCCGGGGGCACATACCTACTTAGGACCGTCATCGCCTTGGGCTCGCAGAAACATATACATCACCACCGCGCCTGGTCAGGTAATCCTGGGCCCCGCGATGGTGTATGCGCCCTCCTGGCCTCGGCTGGGAGGATCTGCAGGAAGATCTGCACAAACTCGAGGCTGGTTAGATCTGATGTCGTCCCTCAACATGGAGGACGCGGGCTGGACACGAGGCCTGGGCCCCGGGGCATTATTCCAGGATGCGTTGTTCATCCCGAACTGTTCTCTGACGGTCACGGGGCCCGCGTGGAGGGCCCCGAAGCCTCCAAAACAGCGAAACACCTCGGACTCGTCTTCCTCGGGACCCCCGGGGGGCCTGCTGCCTCCATGCTAATGACCTTGAGGGCTGTGGCTTTCGGGCCTGGACTCGGGTCTCAGAGGCGGCCGTGCGGCACGATCCCGGCATCCCCGGAACGCCCTATGACGAGGCGCAGCTGATGGAAACCATCACGCGTTCCTAAAGTGTCCAGAGACCTTCAGATCCTTGCCGGACACTTCCCAGGAACCCAATGGGTACCCGATGACGATGATGATGATGACGATGACGATGACGATGACGATGACGATGACGATGACGATGATGATGATGATGATGATGATGATGATGGTGGTGGTGATGATGATGATGATTACGATGACGATGATGACAACGACGACGACGGCGACGACAACGATGTCGATAATGATGATGATGATGCTGATGATGATGGCAAAGACGATGACGATGATGGGACAGGATTGTGACGATGATGACGATGGTGGCGATGCTGGCGATGGCGATGATGACGATGACGACGATGATGATGATGATGATGATGATGATGATGATGATGATGATGATGATGACAGCGATGATGACGACGATGCTGGTGGTGATGATGATGATGATGGTGATTCTGATGATGGCGACGAGTCTGATCATGATGCGGATGAGGATTATGATGAGGATAACGATGATGCTGTTAATGATGGTGATGCTGAAAATGATCATGCTGCTGATGATGATAATGCGACTGAGGAGGATAATGACAATGACGATAATGATGACGATGACGATAACGATGAAAGTGATGATGATGGTGATGGTGCTGATGATGGTACATCGGAAGAAGAGGATGACGATCGATGATGATAGTGATTATGATGGTGATGATGCTGGTGGTGTTGGTGACAGTGATTATGATGGTGATGATGTTGCTGAAGATGCTGATGCTGATGAGGATTATGCAGGTGATGAAGACGATGATGACGTCATTGTCTTCGTCATCGCCCCCGATCGCCACGAGGCTGCACGACAGCGCCGGCGCTCCCCAGGGCGCCCACGGCCACGCGTCGGGCATTGGGTCGGGCGCAGCGTGCTCGCGGGCGTTCCCGAAACGCGGCGTCGGTGCCACGCCTGGCGGAGGCGCTGCCGTCGATCTAATCGGAGGATCGGGAAGGAGGAGGAGGAGGAGGAGGAGGAGGAGGAGGAGGAGGAGGAGGATCGGTAAGGAGGAAGGTCGAGGAAGTGGATCGAGGAGGACCAAGGAGGAGGATCAAGGAGGAGGAGGAGGAGGAGGTCGAGGAGGATCGGGGAGGTGGATCGAGGTGGAGGCAGAGGAGGAAGAGGACGAGATTGACAGGCAGAGCCACGCAAGCTTCCGCAGAGAGATTGACAGGCAGGGCACAGGAAAGGACCCACCCGCAGGCGCGGACTGCTTCGAGCCCTGCGCCTCGAGTGGCTGTCGCGAAAATCAGTGCGGAGCATCGCGCTGCAGAGCAAGAGCTACAAGCATAAACAGCAATGCGTTGGATGCACCAGCTGCCAGCAGCCGAGAAGCCGCGGGAACGGCAGGTGCCACTAGCCACTGCTTTCTGGCGGAGCACGGGAATTACGCGCTCTCCATCCGCGAAACTGTGGAAAAAACTCGAAGCCGAAATGCGCCGAGGACGTCGTGCCGTCTACCTCCTCGACCTCAGGAGGCGGCTCCAAAAGAGGTACCGCCTCGACCGGGGGAGGCTCAAACAGTGGGAGGCGTAGCCAAATCACCACCGCCACCGGCCAGATACGCACAGGCACACGTGAACGAATCGTGAGGTGGCGCCTCAACCCAAGGAGGCTCCTCCACAACACAATCAACAGCAGCATGACATACTGGACTGGGAATCGGCATGACAATGGAACCTGCCACTCCACACCTCAAGGTTCCGTCGTGGCGTGCCCCAACTGCTGGAGGCTCAGCCAAACAACCATTCTCAAAATCAAGGTGATCCCTCAAAGGAGGCTCAGCCATACAAAACTGATGAGTCTAAATCTCCACAAAACTCTGAGATGCGCCAAAGTCCTCACCGCCGACGTTGTCATGCTCACGAAACCCCCCGATAGGCAACGAAGAGGGCGCCTCAACCGACGGAGGCTGCCCCCCAACTGGTACCCCCACAGGTGAGTCGGAGCAACACCAAGCGGCGACGGTAGTGTCGACCTCGGGAGACCGAGAAGACTCATCATGGCGAGCCTCATCAAACGGAGGCTCAGCCCCAAAGCGAATCTGTGGACACGTTGAGCGAGCACCCAAATGGGGCTCAGACAAAACCGCACGCTCCTCCAAAACTGCCTTGGGATGACCATCGGAGGCTGCCAGGCGACTAGAAGAAGTGGCTCGAGAAAGGTCCTGCACGTGCTTCCTGGGTCGACGCCTACGACGCTGGCGATCACCAATGAAGAACTCCTGGGCCTGGAATTTCACTTCCACTTCCTCGGCGGGGTGCGAACTATCCTGACTGGTGGCGGCAGGGGCGGCAGTGTCGCAACCATTCCACCTGCCCCCACCGCACGAGAGCGGTCTGCTGCCCTCAGCCTTGCCCGTGGGGCTGGCGGCGGCGGCGGTGGCGGCTGCAGCCCTTCCGCAGCACCGCCCTGCGCTGTCACCGCTGCAGACGGAGGTAAGGTCCATTCCTTCAGACGATCGGGCGTCCTTGGCCTTCTTCCGCCGCTTGCGTTTCATTAGGGGTTTTGCCGCCTTGTCCTTGGGCGCCTTCGGCGCAGCAGGCGGCGCCGGCACCACAATCACCCTCGGAGCTGACGGCGACAGCGGCAGCTTCTTGTTGTACTGCTGAAGGTGTCGTGCTGCAGGGGGCGAAATGCTCTGGGTAGACGCAGGAGAGGGCGGTATGTCTGGCGGTTGCGCCGCCGAGGCCGCTGCCTCCAAGCGGACCCACCTCGGCAGGCGCTTTACCGGCCTCATCGTCTCCTTCGGTTCCTGCTGCTGCGGCGCACGGTAGTTGCCGCCATTGCTGACCTCCCTGTCCACCACATCGAAAATGGCTCCAAATGCCAGGCGGGGGCGCCATGGGCAAGGGGCGGGGCAACTCCTCTTCCTCCTCTTCCTCCTCCTCCTCCTCCTCCTCCTCCTCCTCCTCCTCCTCCTCCTCCCCCTTCGTCGAAGATGGCGAGCTCGATCCCGTCGACGGGGATGCCGATGGCATGCGCGAAGTCATGGATACGAGCACCGAGCGACGCGCCCAGCAAGTCCACATGCACGTAGAATCGCATGCACGGATCAAGAAAAACCTTTACCTCATACTTGCGCGGCGTCATGGCGGCACCGCACCTCAAGGCGCAACAGACGCTAAGCGGGAGGCGGGCGCAGGGAAACGGCCTGAACCCGAGCCTTGAGGAACGAGGAGGAGGAGGAGGAGGAGGAGGAGGAGGAGGAGGAGGTTGAGGAGGAGTAGGAGGAAGAAGAAGAAGAAGAAGAAGATGAGCAGGCGGAAAAGGAGGGGGAGGTCTTAGCGTCGCACTGCTTCTCGCTGGGCGCTTTCGCCCAATTCAATCGAAGCCCAGCAATAAGACGCAGGCGGTTCAATGATCCATCAGTGGAGCACAACGGGACAACACACGCTGAGCCAACACACGTCCTGAGAATCATCGACGCTGTCCACACGCAAAAGAGCTCGCGACGGCAGCATGTTCGAGATGGTTGGCCCCTTGGAACGGTTTCTAATGTCCCCCGAGCCATAAAACACACACATCAGAGGATGAAAAGCTTACACTGGGAAAAGTCGGGGTCGTGGGGGGCTGCGATACGGCACACATTGCGACGTCCAAGCAGAGGGTCGCTCCTCCTCCTCCTCCTCTTCCTCCTCCTCCTCCTGAATTTTCAACGTCGGGCAAAATATCAACTGGGATCACAGAGTCAATCCTCCTCCTCCGCCTCCTCCTCCTCCTCCTCTTCCTCCTCTTCTTCCTCCTCCTCCTCCTCCTCCTCCTCCTCCTCCTCCTCCTCCCACTCCTCCTCCCCCTCGGCCCGGGGGCGCCCGAGTGCCCCCCCCACCCTTCCAGCAACGGGGGGCCCCCGCGCTTTGGCGTGGGGCCCCGGTCCTGCCGCGCCGCGGCCGCAAAACTGCTTGGCCCCAGCCTCCCCTGGCAAAGCTCGGGCACCTCTCCGCCCGCCTTCAACGGAAAGGGCGCTCTGGCGGGGGCAGGAGGAGGAGGAGGAGGAGGAGGAGGAGGAGGAGGAGGAGGAGGGGGATCGTCTCGGATGTAACCTTAGGCCGCGGATCAGGCTAACTCACCTGACCGATGTGAAAGACCTGCCGCGCGGCCTAAAGTGGGGGTCGGCGGACAGCGACGATACTGAGGTGCCTAGTGGGGAGCACCGATCGATACTCCACCTCGCGATCGCATTCGCTGGCCGCCGCCACCTTCTCACCCATGCCCACGTGCGATCCTGTCGAATCAGGGCTCCTACAGGGTGGCATCCCAGGTCGGGGAAGCGAACTTGCCGCGGCAGTGGTCCGCATTCTGATGAGCCTTGGGCCGTGCACTGGCCAGCTGTTCCCCTCAGGGGAGCGGATGGGCCCCAAATGGGTCCGCGCGCCTCCCTGCCGCTGAATTGAGGCGTGTGTGTTCGCAGGGGCGTGCCATGCCAAAGCATGGAGGGTGCACCTGGAGGGGATCAATCCCCAGCATGACGGGCACCCGCATCAGGTGCACCGGGCCTGCCTTCCTGGTGCCAACGCATGCAAGTCCATCGCGCTGCGAGCATCCTATGACAGCAGGGCGGGGCAACCGTCTGCTAACGAAATTGTCCCCCTAGCCTTCCGTAGGAGCAGGCAGACGCTCGAATCTGCTATCCCACTTAATGGATTATTAGCCTAGCATGTGCTGTCTCCCGCTGCCGGCTGCTACCCGCGCCTCGGGGGTATTCCGTGACACCCAGATCGGGCGGACAAATCATACCCCGCCCTCGAGAACACGAGGGCGGAAACCGTAACAACGCAGATTCTGGATGATACGAAACTGGGGGAAACTGTATCCCTCCCTTTTTGCGGCGTCTACTGCCACTCGGATCCCGGACGGGACTGGCAAGGGGGAAAGGAGGAGAGATGGGAGAAGAGAAGCCTGGGAGCCTCATGCGCGTGCTTCACGCTCGGGCGCGCGTGCGGTTAATAAATCCTCTGGTCCGCTAGTGTGCTCGGGGGCCCGACCGTCTGCTGAAGTGAAAGCAACAACCACGGGAGCGGTGCGATGATCCTTTTTCCTCACAGCGACAACGAGTACCGAATCGCATCCCTCTGGCGGTGGCCCGTTCAGGTCCACCTCCTTTTTGATTGGTTTTCGCTAGGGGCTGCAATGCGAAGCACTCTGCAACAATTGTGGCCGCGAGAGGGGTAATCAGTCCCGCCCATGTCCCGCTCTACTCTTCGCTGCCGCTCCGTGTGCCTTCCCTTCCCCACGACACCCTCAACAGCGAACCCTCTATAGGGAGATATCTACAGAAAGTCGTCTATAGGGACCAGCTCTTCCAGTACCTGCGCGTTCCCTCTCTTGTGTGACGGATGCTGGCCGTTACGAATTCTGTTCAAATTCTCTCTCGTGTGGGCGCTGGCCGGGCGTGTATTGCAGCGCTTGCTGGGGTTGCTAATGCGCACTCCTTCCGAAATGCATCCGCATTTCATGCAGACGAACAAAATGCCGTCCGGAGTAGAAGTGACGAACAGCGCGTGCCCGCGCCTTTCGCGCACCAGTTCGCTGAGCACTGCATTGTGCCCTGCGCAGGGGAAAGCTAGAAAAGGCGGGTCTCTGCGAGTTCGCCTAAGGCACTTCTGGCACGCCCATCTGTGCCTGATCCACTTGAATTGGTGCCCATTTGTAGGTGGGAGTAACGGAAAAAGCGAGCCTCTTCTGGCTTCCTCTGGAACTGCTGGGCCCGAAGGTGTCGCGGGTCTGTGAGGAATGGCTGCTGGCGCTGCTGGCGTCCTATGCGGACCTGGGAGAACGGCCGATCTCTCCACCTGGCCTGCACGCGTGTGCGGGCCACTTCTCCCCCCACCACCCCCTGTCTTCGACATCCTGCCGAGTTGGCGGGGCGTTGGTGGTTCTGGCAATGCGTCCCGGGCCGACGCGGCCCCCAT